GATCAATTGAATAGATATTGCTACTTCCGTCTTCTAAAAAATGCATACAATAAGCGTCAATTTCGTTGTCTGAGTAACAATTGATCGTTAAATGCTCATATTTTATTTGTTGGCCATGATGTGGGGTGATGCTATGTGAACGCGGTGAACGATGGCCAAATGTTTGGTTAGGATCAGCGGCATGGAAACGTAGCCTCAAACGCAAACCAAAGGGTTTTTCGATCATCTCTCTCTTTTAGAAAGATGATTAAGTGACCTTTTATCTCATATTTCACGCTAAAGGGTTAACTCGTGCATGATACATTCTAGAGAGGTGATGTGTTCCAATTTTCTTTAGCAGTTGGTTGAGGCTGTGATTTTCAAGAATACTAAATTCTGGCTCTTGTTCTGCATCTAGCGCACTTAGTTTATCAACATTTCCAAGTTGCAGTTGAAAGATTCGTATGCCAGGTACCTGGGCCTATACTTAAAAAAATTATGAGATCGTAAGTTCATCAGCCAATCATTGACGGCCTTTCAAGCAAAATCCGCCAATCATAGATAAGAAAATAGAGCGTAAGTACTTACGTTCACTTACCGAGGTTTGAAAGTATGGCCCCTGATCCGTAGTACTATAGGTACCCAGGCCACAGCACACGGTACCGGTTCACAGTATCCGAAGTCTGAAGTTTATCATCAAGATGATGTTAGCGTTTCTTTACGTCTCAGTGAGCTGTAATGCACGCGTCTCAAAGGGAAGGGAAGCCATTCATGAAGCCGGACCCTCAGAAGTGAACTTTGAAGCTGTAATTAAACCCTCTGTCTTCAGTAGGTCTTGTGATAATTTTAAGCGAAAGTCTTGCCAAGAAATCAAAATTAATGCACTGACTTGCAAACTTTGCCAAGAATCTCCAGCCTCACGACTTACAGTCAAATGCCTCTAGCAATATTGGCTCGAATAAGTTTTTGCCAAACAGACGGGATCATTAGTGCGGTCATTAGATGGTCATATTTGCAATGCACACTAATAAAAGGGCGAACAAACAAAATTAAAGATTCTTTGCTCACAAGACACTAGGTTCTCATGTTCACTTACATGCTTAATAGGCAGTCGCCTTCAAGAACCCTTGATTCTAATATAATAGAACCTTTTATGGGACTCCTACGCAGCAACTGCCGGTTGGCTAGCCTCTTCGGTCGCCACGGTACTCGTTAATTCAAAGTCAATTTGCGCAAGCTCGACCGAGTTCTAGAAAAGACTTGCTTCCTATCAGAAAATTATGGATCTTGTCGCAAGAAAAGCTCAGGACCACCAAAAGTTGTGCCCAAGTTACTTGAGGCTCTTGCCCAAGCTCATGAAACTTTGGTGTGGATATTTCCTTGGAGTTCCCGATAGGAAATGATGATCTAAAAATCCTCTCAAAGAGTTAAGCGCCAGGATGTTGCGGCTCGCTTTCGTATTAGTATAAAGTTTGAAGCTTATTAATCTTCGCAGGGGCAACAATGAACGGTAATGAGGCAAGTAAAGGGCAAGAACTATACATAAACACGACCAGCATATTAGACAGACGTTGCTCGGAATAGATAATCTCAGATGCTGCCACAATCTTTCTTCTATAATCTATATCGTGTGTTAATTGAATAATTGTTATCATTGTTTTGTTGCTATTTTGCCATCAGTAATCTACTGAAATAAAATCTAGCTAGTAGATGCATTTTAACAGACATTATCTCCACCAGAGCAAAAATCGTCGTTTTTCGGCTAAAGTAATTTTCATAACATAAAAATTATGTTATTTAGAGTGTAAGATGTAACCACGGCTGCATCTAAAAGTTGACATAAAATTAAAATTCTAATTCGTTTCACTCTGATATCGTGTTTTTTTTTCTACCATCTTTTTTCATACCGAAGCCGCGTGAGCAGTTATATTCAAACTGACGAAATACGAAAGGTTCAAGGATTGTCACGTATAGGAAGAATTTAAAATTTACCGGAAACGCATTTTTGAAATGTATGTGAAGTGTACACAAAATAAATGGAAGTGAACGAAATGCTGGTGGATTCCTCCAGCACAGTGCAGGTGATGCTGGTGGGTTCCTCCAGCACTGCATGATGATGCTGGTGGGTTCCTCCAGCACTGCATGATGATGCTGGTGGGTTCCTCCAGCACTACATGATGATGCTGGTGGGTTCCTCCAGCACTGCATGATGATGCTGGTGGGTTCCTCCAGCACTGCATGATGATGCTGGTGGGTTCCTCCAGCACAGTGCGAGTGTCTCGTTGAGTTTGACGTTGTTAAGAGTGTCACGGAGCCTGTTGAATTCATCGCGGACATTGAGATGACGCTGCTTGGTTGTAATACTTCTGGTTGCAAGCCTGTCTCATGTGGCAGTAATAATAGGCCTACAGATTAGGGAAACTTAGGGAAAGCAGTTCCCGGTTCACCAATGCAACGTTCATAATATTAATGAGATCCTTTGTAAAATAACAATTAATAGCTCTGAGACTAACAGTGCTGTAATTGTGGACTAGAATTGTTCTTAATGAGCGCGAAATGAGAACAACCCAGTTAATTAGATAAACGACCAGTTGCAAATGCAAGTGTTTATAATGCTAATTTCCAAAATGCTATAAATAAACCCTGTTTGCCCGACTATCGCTTGTAGAATTGCACCAACAATTCTGAATTTGAAGCGCTTACTTGAAATACATTGTGAACGAAACTCGTCTCATTTGTGGGCGGCAGTGCTGGTGATTGCCGATCAAACTTGCTGCGTTGATTTCGCTCATTATGCGATGACGAATTACCTGTGTTTGGTCACGTGTTTATTGGGGCACCCGAAAACCTTATTAATATTCAATGACTCATGCAAATGAGGGCACAAGTAAACACTGGTTCAATAGGTCGTCGTTTAGATTATATTTGGACTACAAATATTTTCCGATACGCGCGAGGCTATAATTGTAGAGCCAACATTCAATTAATCATTTTTTAGGTATTTTGATATATTAAAATGCAAAAATATAACTGTTCGTTAGATGATAAATAATAGCAGGGAGATAAAGTTATAATCAAACTCTGCTATGTAAATGTAATTGTTTCACTTCGCTAATGTAAATAGTGATATGAAAATAGAGAGCGAAAGCTTATGCAATATACGACCGACAAAATGCGGTCGACTCAATAGTAGCGCGAATTCTGTTCACATGGCTGCTAGAATTTTGACGTGAGCGGCAAGCAATATCTTCATGTATAATTATTGTAAGTATGTTAGAAAGCGCTACGATAGCTATAAAATATTTTGCTAATAATTGTTCACTCAGGACATATTCTGGTGGATTCATTAAATAGACTATACTATAGACTAAAGTTCATGCAATATGAAGAATAATTTAATTCTTCAAAAATATAAAAGTTTTCCGTTCTACCAAAACCATGGAACCACCGTGCTTAATTAGAGTACGCATGGAACACGTTTCAACGAAGAAGCGACTGACGCCGCTGCGTAAACTGCGTGAAATGTCTTGAGAAGAGACTATTCGCGTTATCGAATGCTCCGGTAAATTCGAGTATGATAATTTGATATTTTTTTACTCGTGTCTAGCTAAATATATATCTACATAATACAAAGGGTAAAACAATAGTTATAAAACTGCACAGAGAGTGGCTCAAAATGAATATTTCCCTAATGGTAGTTAAAGCCGGTGTAGTTGAATAAAAATAGGATGTTGCCACATTGCAGATTTCTGAAGCGCGGTACAGGGTGATTCACGGAGACTTCTAGTTTTGTATTTCTCGCCAAGCAGCCAGATGTTGCAGGGAAAGGGTGACAACTGACAAGCTATTCATATGAAAAGTAAGGTCACGAAGTTTTGCGTCCCGTCTATTCAGTGCCACGATGAATTGGACAAGTAAGCAGCGTACGTTTGCTGTCTAGGCGTACTCTGCAAATGGCCGTTTTGCAGAGTTGTCTCCGTCCGAGACAGCATTTTGCAGAGCGCCTCATCTCTTTGAGTGGTGTCTTTCTTTGGTCAGCTCGATCCCCCCATTTGGTTCCGTGTTATTTTTTCATGTGGTTATCTTGAATCACTTGTTTACAATGACAGTCCAAAAGCCTTACCTCATTCGAAATCAAGTCGCCGGATTTCTACGAAATCGATGTAATTTGTCAACAGAATTAAATCAAAATGTTAACAGATTTGCAATTATCATTTGGAAATAGAACACGACAAATTGTAGAACTGAGCAGCATTGTACTGTTTTCATCGACGAACGGCTAACTAAGTGCAAGTGCGTAGTGACTGATGTGTCATTGACGGTACTGCTTACCCAGAGCACAAGTATATGATAAAATCGTGACTCAGATGAATTGTGACGATACGTCTTCCCAGATACTAGATAAAATATGACAATTATTATTAAACGATTTAAACAATCGTCAATGCGTCATGACCGAGTTTGACGCAACGACTGGGAGACCCAGCAACACCGTGGGAGGGGTGCGCGGTCTAACGTTAATGGCTGCGCCACAGTCCGCGGTCCTAATATTCAGCGACTTGTAGCATCTTGGTCAGAGGACACATTGCTTTGGAGTCGATGTCTGGTCCTTAAAGACCAGGCTATAAGTCCAGCAGTTATCTCAGAAACAATCGTCAGTTATGGAAAGATCGGGTTAATAAGGCCGGATCCCTTGTGAATCAAGTCACAAAAAGTACAAGAATCGGCAACAGGCAATGGGCCTTTTTCTTAAGTGCCGACAATTCAACTCTATTCTATAACGAGGCACATATTTTTCAATATGACTGTTCGTAAGGTGGTTTGGTCGAAAGGGAGGAGGTTCGTAAGACGTTATTCCACTGTACCAAGGATCTTTGCTTCTTTTTCAGGCTGATTTTCAAGATTTAAACGCTGGTTTCCAAAGAAATATGGGCAATTAAAACATCAAATTGAATAAGATGGTATTATTGTTGATAAAACCGTGAAGTTCAATCAACTTTTTAAAAATAATAAATCAAGATATTGAACCCCTAAAAAATGAAAATAAGATTTTTAATTACACTCAGCTTACTGCAGTGCGCAGATTAGCTCCTTCAATGATACATTATGCTAATATTAGCTACCTAGCGGCAGGCAAATATATGGTCAAAATTCGCTTCTAAGTTTTAAATTCGGCAAAGACAAGTTCCACAATTGAGGTTAGACATTTGTGTTAGAGCCAAGAATTTTAGAAGCCGTGAAGAAGCGAGTGTAAGTATGGGAATAAAGAAATATAAGAAATGGGAATAAAGATTTATAATATTGCAAGAGGTGAAAAAATGCGATGACTACACGAGGTGCCAAGCAACATCTTATCAGCATGAAGAATCCCGGAGCTCAATATCTGAATGACGTCAGTCTAAAGAATCATCAAACGCCAAAGTACAGTTCAACACATAAATCCAATATAAGATTTCACCAAACTTTTAACGCTTCATCACAAACGAATATTGAGGGGATCTAAAATTTAGGAAGTTACAAAGAACATTAATAAAATAATAGGAAATTGCATAAACCGCTAAAAATTTCCTGAGTAAGAAAATAACAGGAATTAAGTAGTTGAAACCCTTAACTTATTGCAAAAAGTGACGTAAGTGGTGTGAGTGAGGAAAATATTAATGCTGGGGACTGTGAGAAGAGAACAGGAATCGTGTCCAGCTAAGGGAACAGCTGATACGTGACTATGAATGTTTCATTACGTCACAAAACTCACAATAAATATCAACATTCTACAACATATTACACTCGTTTGACAACTGATATCCTACTATTAAGGTCTCTTGTTAAAATAATCAACTATATACATGTTACACAAAAATTACCTTTACTTAATAAATATGTTTCTCATTATTAGCTCGCGTTATTGCCTCTGAAGACTAGACAAAAGTGAAGAGGGAAATGAAAATTGTGATGGGAATTACATCCGCTGTCAAGTGGTCGAGGATGAAAAGCACAGCCAACGCCCTTAAATCCATCACGTTGTTTGTGCTCCATTCCTACACTAAAATTTTCATACTTGACAACCAGTTGTTCATGTAGCAAACCGCTCATGACAAGGTTTATATAATGAAATAAATAAATATATACATACATATATATTCCTAAGCCTAGAACTGAAGGGGTTAAGCAGGAGAAATCGAAGGCAGCATCAAGTCTACGCAATTGAGCCAGAGGTTCGCACAGCCCGAGTGGTATTCGTTGCCGCCGTACGCGAGACTGAAGGACGCCGCAGACGAGGTGACGAGGCTCGTCAGGCAAATGGAACATGACGAAGGGCTGCTTGGCACGTCCTCCTCGCTCAGTAAGTTATCCACCTGTAACGGCCAATCATTAGTTGACTAAGCATAGCTTCGAAGCTCACCTGAAATATGAGGCTGATGAGGGACAACTGGATTCAAGCAACTTCACTTCAAGAAATCGTACCTATAAGAGCTTCATTAAATTAATTTGAATTATGACATTAGCAGCAGGCAAGGTGTGCAGAGACCACTTAAAAGTTTCAAACGACCTAGCCTATGGAGTGAGTGCAATACTAAGCATTTACTAACAAAGCAAACAACAAGGCATGTAATACAAATATTTATTAAAAACAAAGGGGTTCTATTTTGAATCCGTATTACGTCTGTATGCAAGAATCTAGGGTGAATAAGAACTTTTACAAAGAAAATTCATCGAACCCTCTGCGTTGTTCAGAATAAGCCGTGTCTTTGGCAGCGTTACCTGGAGAGGTTGTAGCAGGGTGGAGAGCTGGGAGCAGAGCAGCGCGCAGGCGTCGAGTGTCGCCGTCAGTTGGTGGCACGGCAAGCGGCGCGCGGCCGACCGCAGCCTCCTGGTCACCTCCGCCACCTCCTTCACGCCTGCACAATGAAAATTATGTAGCACAATTCTTGCACTTGGCAAAGTCACATATTATAAATTTAGATTCTGTGGTAGCCTTCTGTACTGAAATTCAAGTTTACTGCATGACAACACTATTATGAGGGTCACAGTTTCAATCTTGTGTACAACTTTGCTCAGATTAGAATAAGCATCGAACTAAAACGGATGTGTCTGGTCCTTGCTCCTTGGTTGTTCTATTATTTTAGTAATGATTTTCAGAGATGCTACAGTTGATTGTATGTTCGAACGTGATACTGTTAAAAAGTGAACGGTCGTCCGTAGTAGTACCATAAAATTAAATATTGGCAAAGTTTTGCAATGAAATTCACAGCAGTCATTCCATGATTAATTAGTACCCCTACCAATGATTCTTCCATTCACTTATTTAGAAATATTAGGAGTCAATAAACAGGTATATAATGAAAATGCCCATCGTTTCTATCTTCTCTTTCAGGGGCATAGTAACTGTGCAGTACCAAAAAATCATTTTCCAATTCTCGAAACCTAATCGCTTACACAGATCATGTTTTTAGTCTCAATGGCTCTTCACCTGCTATGAACTCTTTCATTTGAGTTGTGGATGCAATCCTCTTCCAGTCCATGGGCGGCTCAAGTTCCTCATGACCACTCGTGCTAGAGGAGTTTGTTGACGCTGAGTCCAGACACCCCAGAGGCTGCAGTGCATCAAATGCATTGGTCAGGAGCTGGTGGCACCCCTGCAGGCAGCGCTTCCAACACTCGGCGGCCGCGTCGACTCCATCAGCGCCACAGCCTTTACTTCCAGCAAGGAACTCGCTGTCCTGAAATTGAAATAATTTCATTAGATTCTGGTTTGTCACAGTTTCAACATCATGTATCCATTAGTTGACTTCAAAGCAATACCTAGTACACCATTTTCAGTAGGTACATTAAACAACTTCAAAGTTATTTTCCATTATCTCAGAAAGAAATTATTTACAATTTCTTATTATTAAGAAATTATTATTTATTTATTAAGAAATTATTTACAATTTCAATACAACAATGGAAACTGAATTAAGAAGATATCTCCTTAATACTTCTTACCAGCATTAAATTAAAGATACCAACACCAATTAATATGAACACTAACCTCTCTCAGACTCTGGTATCTATCAATTCCATGAGCATCATTAGGATATTTTATACTGCCAGGTTCATTTATGTTGGAGTTGGAAAGAATATTTGGCTCCACTGAGTCAAATTTTCCTCCAATGCCAACGTCAGCAGCAGGAGACAGGTCTTTCTGCATATTTAGCTGGCCCAGGCCAACTGTCGAGGAAGATATGGGAGGAGGTTGCTGGCAGCTGCTGCTCATTTCTATTGGAGAAGGCGCAGCATCAGAATGGTGCTCAAAAGCGGTAAAAACGTGAGAAGGTTTTTTGGTGACGTTTTCCTCAGGATGTGATGCACAGAAGTTGAGATTGTCATGAGACGTGAGGAAAACAGGGGCATGAGGAGAACCAGATAGCTCATGAGCCTCGCCATGATTGTGGAAGTTTGCATTCAATACTTGCTGTGGCAAATCACCCCCATCAGCCAGTACAAAGTCTCCAAATTCATCACAAGCAGTTTTGGGGAATGAAGGGGGTTCTTCAGTGAAGCCCTGTAGTGTAAATAAAATAAGTATATGGCATGATCCTCAATCAGTTTTAAATTTCACAATTCACAAATGCACATTACATTTCAAATCTTGAAAGAAACCACTGAGTTGCTCCCAAAAACCAATTTGTCTAATTTGTTAGTAGGAGTTTAAATTAAATCAGCAGTGTGGTTACAAAAACATTACATATGTGAACAAACATTCATTGATGATAATTACAGCTACAGTAGGTAAGTCAGTAACAAATTTCATAACCAACAGTAAAAAAATTTACCCAACGCCAATTTATCTAACAACAATTATAGATAAACACAATTTATGTAAACAAATACACTAACTGCAAAGGTAAGAGAAGATTCTGTTGGAAGGGGAAGGTCTTCACAATATTTTGATGAAGAAGTGCTTTGTGGCTTGTCATGAAGAACCCCAAATATATCACTCCAGTCGGATGGTCCAGATGATGTATTTTTTTCTAGATTTCTGATAGTGGAACTATCAGTGTTGGGTAAATTTTGTGACCGGATCAAAGATGAAGAGCCAGTAGACAATAGAGAAACTGAAGGATATTTGACACCTGCTGTGGACTGTGAACAAGGGTCCCTGGTAGAACCCTTCACTATGCTTGTTACTTCTGCTGCTTTGTTGCTGGTTGTATTTGATTTTATGATATCTGGTTGGGCACTAGTTGGGAGAGTCATGTTGGAAAAACCAGCATCAAAATTGGGAGCAAAAGTACAGACTGTATTGGTTGGAGCTGGCAAAGTAACACATGTGAAATCTCCAAAATTATCATCAGTAAAAGACTTGTTTGCAGAGCAGAACTCCCCAAATGAGTCATCAGCAATAGAATTCTTGAGAACATTAGATGAACTGGCAGACTGGTTATTTATAGAAGTGTCATCTTCAAAATCCATGATTCGCAGTGCAGCATATCTATCTTCAGTTGAGTTGGAAGTCAATTTATCAGGCTTGAGAAGTTGTGAACTTGTATTAATGCTATCTTTCTTGCAAGACTGCGTAGCATTGAAAATGGAAAAATTAGCAAACTGGTCTGTCAATGAGCTTGTTTGCTTTTCAGCTCCAGTAAAAGTTGCATTTCCATATTCTAATTCACATTTAGTATTGCTTGTACTAGGAATTGTAACAGGAACATTAAGAGTCTGATGAATACTACGAGGTGACCCATCTGAGGACAGCATACCAGGGGTTTCAGAAGTTGCACTTTGAAAATCATCAAAATCATCTTCAGCTGAATTGTCATAACTTTGGCTTGGAGAATTTTTTGGAGAGCATCCCACATGAGGCAAATTCATGCATTTATCAACACCTAATGGGAAACTTTTAGTCTGGACAGTGACTGATGGCAATAATGGTCCTTGAACATACGAGTTCATGGCAAGAGTAGTAGAATAACGTTGAGCTTGACTGATTTGAGGGGAAAAGAAATTGGAAGCTTGAGTTATCACTGTATGCTGTGGCTGAGTAACTTGAGGTAGAAATGATCCACTCTGCTGCACACCAGCCATGGGTTTAATGCCTGTAGCAATGATAGCAGATTTGTTCAGAGGAGGTGCCCCAACAAAGTCATCAAAATCATCAACATCATTGGCATTGCTGGAAGCCACAGCTGTACAAGCTGTGCCTTCAGGAGCAAGCCAGTTCACAGACTGCATAGCAGTGCTATGAAGAGTATTTTTGTGATATATTTTGGATGGATCTTGGAAAATGAATGGCTGTTGCTGCTGTTCCTGCAATTGTTTTAAATCTTGCTGAATTTTTTGTTGTTGAAGCTTGAGCTGTTGAAATTGCTGAATAAATGGTATTAAAGCTGGGTGATCTAGTACAGGTACCACTGGCTCTTGTAGCTTTTCAAGTACTTCAGCTGACACTAGGTGCTGGCCAGACTGTAATTCAAGATGAAAAATATTATCATGATGGAAGTTGGTGAACAATCATCCTATTAAAGTGATTGAGTAATAAATAATCAACAAAATATTCCAATTCAAATCTTGTCAGGTTTGAGAATCTAAATAACAACAACCAATGTTTATGGTACAGATAAAAGATTGAAGTTGAACCAATTCAACTCTCTTAATTTGAATAATGTTCCAAAACATCTTTTATTTTCCCTTACCTGCACCAAGGCAATGAGAGCCAACAAGCCAGCACACTCATTCCTAGAGAGCTGACCAGTTCTGCTGCAGTTCACAAGTTCCCAGAGTATGGCAAGAACATTTGCATGAAGACCAGTACGTAATAGTAGCAGAGAAACTCTATTTGTGTCTACCCATTCTGTTGTCTCGCCATTGTTTGATTTATTTCCATCATCAGTGATTGGAGATTTATTAAAATTGTTATTGGAAGAATTGGAATGAGAACACTCAACAAGACCTAAAGCTCTTCCATAAATTTCTGTGACACAAGACATTATTGGAGAACTGGAAGCTTCTGACTGCTTAGTAGAGATTGCATTCTTCAACCAAGCAGGAAGAACAATATAACGAGTCTTCTTTTGCTTAGTAGGCAATGAATTACAATCCATTTTTTTAGATTATTGATAAACTGCTCAAGAACATGTATAAACACTGAAAAATAAAACCAAAATTATTTTTAACAAATTATTCACTTTTCCTATTAAGTCATACATTTTTAGATCTTTTAAATTGTAAGACATACAAAGCATAAACAAAGATGAAAGAATATTATGGACCCATAAGTGTAAAACATCACTTCTTGGCTAGTAAAATGTTAAAAAAATAAAACATTCAATTTTTTATTTTCAGCTCAAATGCAAAATTTCATGACTTTCCCCAAAATGGTCAAAAGAGTGGCAAGTGGTTACAGTTCAGAGTACATGCACAGTGATGCACCTAGATTGGAGCAGTGAGTTGTTGGTGGATTCCAGCCTCCAGCAACAAGTGGCTGGGCATGGTGGCAAATCAGAGATTTTTAATAATCATTGTATTGTTAATTTTCTCATCTAATCAATACTTTAATCAATTTCTTACATATGATAATGCTGGTATCTAAGTCTAAGATACTTGCTAGTTGCTAGTCTACTTTTAGGACTCAAAAATGAACTTGAGGAAGGGCAACAAAAAAAAATCTTCTTTGCCCCTATGTCAGGCTGGGTGATTAAGAAGCAGGATTGTAACTTTCCTACTTGTTTCCAAAATCTCTCAACTCCAACATGACAAATTTTTAATACATTTGGAATCTTGTGGCCTGATTGTGCAATATTTTCAACAATTAGATAGGCATAGGAAATAATTCATCTGGCAGAAATCTGACGCCTGACAGTTCTAGAAATGGCAAGAAAGCTTTAGTCACAGCCCCTAAAGGTAGATGTTTTCCACGCTTGTGATTAAGCACAGCAAAATTGGAACAGTGAGCAGTGAGTTGTGTATGTTTGAGACCTGACAAGCTACTAACTGTGAAAATTATGCTATGCAAAGTTCAGAATCAGTGACAGGTCTAATGGCAAATGGCCTTATCAATGGATTCAAAACATTCAATGCTGTCTGCAGTCTGCTCAGTCTGCTGACACCACATTGACCACAATTACTATTAATGGAACAATACAAAAAGGTCAATAAACAATGAGGCAGGCTTGTATCAATGTAGGCCTATCCTCATTTCCAGGTGAGCTGGATTATAAATAAAATTAGGGTAAATGCGGTATATTCCGTCATCGTGGGTAATTCTGTCACCTCTCTAGTTTTTCCTTTATATTAAGCTTTGTTTTAGTTCCATGCGTTCGTTGATGGTTGAAATGGTGACGTCATACATTTGCGCGTCGAACTAATGCCAAAACACTAGGTCTTGGCCATCCAGCGGGAAAATATTGAGATCCAAAGAGAGACAATGCACGCTACCCAGTGAGATCATTGAAAAATGTGTCAAATTTGACAGTTCACCTTGCTCTACCAAGTACCAAATAGTGAATAACTGTTTGTATAGGAAGAATATTATGGTTTGAGACTTTTAAATATGTCTGTAAATATATTAGGAATCCTTTAAGTATACTTGTATTCACTGATTTCAAGTGGTAAATAAATTAATAGATGATTAAGTTGAGAAATGGATTTAGACACATGAAAACTAATTCC